GTTCTAGATTTTGAGTAAGGGATGAAAGTTGTACATTTGGTTAAATCCCTAGATTAATTTCGAGGGAGTCGAAAGAGCTGATCATCTCAAAAATTTCAAAATATTCAGGCTGTCAACACTCACTTCTCATGGAATCCTGAGATTGTTTTCGATGAGCTAGCTTTTGATGTATGCCTACCTAGGCAACACGACAACGAGATCTTAAGGCGACTATACGTAGCTTCGTAGATAAAGTCCAATTCTAGATCTTGGACCCAATTTGCATTGTCGCAACGTATTGAAAATACGACTGTCGCTCCACCATCAATCGGCTTACGTCTTGCAAGCAGGAGCCCCGGCATCCCGCTTTGACGGTCCTCGTTCCTCGTCTTCAGTAACGTCCGACAGGTTTGGTGTACCCGAAAGCCGTGATTTTAGCACGGGCTGAGCGATCCTTGTTAGCCAAAGCCGCATATATCAATCGTCTAGCTACTTACCTCGACTCGCCTCGACTCAACTTCGACTGGATAGTGTAGTCGTTTTATGAACTACCTACACGTAGAAATCTACCTTCGGTGATCCCGTTATCGACAGAGGGATTTTGTTGAGTTGGAATGTATTAAACTCAAGGCTGGCCCTGTTGGCGACCATCCAGCCACTTGCTCATGTACGGACCGTCCAGCCAATAGCCGAGCTTCTTGTAATAACTCCTCACTCCGACACCACTGATGACGCTAATCTTATCGCTTCCGTGCTCGTCCCGGGCGATGCGTTCCGCCTCCTCCATCAGAAGCGTACCGAAGCCTTGGTGCTGGAACTTCTTCGGGTCTCGAGCATGTACCGGTACGGCGGTTCCGTAGACGTGGAGTTCTCGAACCAGACTAGTCTGTTGACCAGTCAGCTCCTTGCGGTATGTGTACTTCTCCGTGCACTTGCGCAGACGCAGTAGGGCCACGAGGATATCCTGCTTCGGGTCCTCGTAAGCTAGGAATGTCTCCCATCCACCGTTGGCAGCGTAATCGCGACGAATCAGTTCGATCTGGTTCGGTCGGATTTTGTTCTTGACCTCATTGATTCCGACTTCGCGTGTTCTCACGTCACGGCAGCTTGTCCCGAAGTCCTTCATCCGAGCAAGAGCCAGCTCTCTCAAATTACCATTTTCGACACCCGAAGTGACTAGAGGCATTGGAATATCTCTCTGGACCCGGTAGATTCTCGTCCACGGCGGAACTAGGGCTAATATCCTCGCAACGATGTCTATCAGAGCATTCGGGGTGTAGTTCTTATACCGTCCCGTCCGCCATAGTTCGTAAAGACCCGTACCACGGATGACCAGCGTAGGATATATCTTCAGTCCATCCGTTCGGAATGCCGGGTTTTCAAAGTATTCTCTGAACTGATCCAGATCCCGCTCCATTCCCACGTTGGGCAGATCGGGCATCATATGCGAAACCACCTTGAATCCGGCGTCCTTGGCGAGACAGAACGTCTCCGCGACAGCAGCTACGGTATGGCCTCGGTTGGTATCGCGAGCAACGTCCTCGTACAGGGATTGGACGCCGACCTCTAACCGTGTACATCCGTAACGGAGCATGTCGGTTAGGTGCGGCTGTAGGCAGTAATCAGGGCGGGTCTCGATCGTGATGCCCACGCACTTGACATTGCTCATCTCGCCTGCTAAGACGGCCTCGTCGACATCGGTAGTCTGATAGCCGCTTAAGGCGTTGTGCAGTTGCGAAATAAATTCTTCTCTGTAGGGGACGGGCAACGACATGAACGTGCCGCCCATGATAATGTATTCGACCTTGTCGACCGAGTGTCCGAGGGACTTGAGCTGATCGACGCGACCTCGAGCTTGTTCGAAAGGATCGTATCGGGCACGAATGGCGCGCATGGACGTCGGTTCGTAGCCGGTATAAGACTGGGTGCTATATTCGAAATCGGAGTCGGGACCGCCGGGACAATAAACGCAAATATTTCCAGTGTAGGCAATATGAGGACACCTATGGGGCTTGCACATGACGGCAACGACGGCGATTCCAGAGGATGTGCGAATTGGCTTCGCGACGAGCTTGGGTAGGATGTATTTCTTGTAGTGTTCGGGGACGGCGGCAATGATGGCAGTCAATGGCGGCATGCTGGCGATCTTGTGCTTTCTGGAGAATTTCGACCGTAGGCTGTTGAGGTTGATATCTCGTTTAGGATTCTTGGGGTCTTTAGAAGCTTCATGGTCTTCGATAAGGGCGCTGGCGATGTCGGCGCAACATCGTAAGAATCGTTCGTTTTCGGGGGGAAGGTTAGCATCCTTCTTTCGGACGGTAGCAGTTATCGTAGTCGTAGTCGTAGTCGTAGCCATCTTGATCGCATAGAGGTATGTCGCTTCAGATTCGATTCAGATTCAGTTCAGATTCAATTTGAAGGTGTATAGAAGTAGAGATATCTTATCGGCCTATCTCGTGAGCTCGGAGCGGGCTATCGATTGGTGTTTAGATGCGAGTTCAAAGTGGGAGTTATAATGACGAAAAGAATGAGGATGAAAAAGTGTATGACACAGATTGATTGATGGTGGGGCTCAGTAGTGGGGGTGGGAACCTTAAACCTTAAATTTGGTATCTATCCAACCAGAAGCGACCTAACGACCGGATGGGGAATAACATGATGCCGATCCCCACTAGCGGGTCACCACTTTGCCGGGAGTCGGCCCCGCTATGAATGCCAGCTGTCCAGTGCTTTAGGTAGGGTGCTGTAGTGCCGATACAGGTACCTAATACAAGCTCTGGGCTGTATGACCTGAACGGTTCAGCGTAGCACGGACCAACAAGCGCGGGGTTACCGTAGGTTCAATTGATTCACCATTTACATGTGCCACGGTTTGCATGCTGCATGGATGCATAGAAAGAAGGCGAAGTAAATGCATATCCCATATCCCATATCCGTCAGATTCTTTTTGTCCAGATACTTTTTCAGTGTATGCCTAAGGTCTCAGGTGAAGAGTGGAAGGTTATCAAACCAGGCTACCGGCTACCTAATCACATCGTTTCCGTTCTTTCAAACCCTTTGGTGTTTCAGTGACGGTTTATGCATTCTGAGTTGTCACGTCACATTCGACATTCGTAGCCGTTAGGTTCGCTTTCAACTGCCTCACCCTGCAACTGCAATAAGACATCCTCCCCACGGGCCATCCCGCTTTCAGCCTCGTTCTATATTCCCTTGCAGCAGGGACGACTCAACGTTCCTATATAGAAGTACAGGTCAAAAATAACCAGCCAGCAGTCGCAGGCCAAAGAACGGGTCCTCCTTCCTTCACATCTTCGTCACCATACCACACCTTTCCCTCTCCGACCGATACCAAAGTTTACGATAGTCTACGTCGACCATCGCCAACATACTTTTTGGTCGCATAGGGATATCTTCAGCAAACATCAATCATCCACCGATCACCATGGCATCAAGCCGCGCGCGCCGAGTAGCCAAGGAGCTATCCGATATGGATGCCGACTCTCGATCGTCGGGCATCACGGCTTGGCCTGCCACTAGCAATGGCGACCTAACTCATCTGAAGGCTTGCATCCCTGGCCCTCCCGGTACGCCGTACGAGGACGGTAGATTCATCGTCGACGTGACGATTCCCAACGAGTACCCGTTCCGACCTCCCATCATGAAGTTCGACACCAAGATCTGGCATCCGAACATCAGCAGTCAAACTGTAATGTCAACCCTAGTCCCTAGTCTATTGTCCATCATCTACGTACTATTTAACTCGTGCTAATAACTATCGCGCAGGGAGCGATTTGCCTAGACACTCTGAGTTCCGCCTGGTCCCCCGTCCTCACCATCAAGTCGACCCTCCTATCCCTTCAAGGCCTCTTCGAAAGCCCCGAGCCCAAGGACCCCCAAGATGCCGAGGTTGCCAAGATGATGATCAACGACCTGGAGGCCTTCAACAACAAGGCACACGAATGGGCTGTGCTATTCGCCAGTGCTCCCAACAATCCCAAATTCCAATCTGTCCAACCGCGAACGTATATCTCTCCTGACCAGCAGCAAATCGACGACAGCCGGTACGTCCGACACCCATGTTTCAATATATACCTATTACACATACGACCTAAGCTTTGTGGTAGATGGCTAATTAGATCCAACAGATACCAAGGTTACAACAAGGACCTGATCAACCGATTCGTCAGCATGGGTTTCGATATCGATCGAGTAGTCGAGGCATTCCAGTTCTTTGGTATCGACCGACTAGACGGCCAGGACTACGAGCTGGAGGAGGCCTATATGGGAGACATCACAGCCCGTCTGCTGGGAGAGCCGTGAATAATTCGGCTCGGTGTATGAAGCAGGTTCGTCGTACTTGGGGGTGGTATTAGGGGTCATTCTTCTCCTGTATTCCATGTTTTTTTTTTTTTTCGTACGGGGTCGGGAATTCTCGGGGACGGACTTGAGAAGATAAGGGAACAGCATGACAGTCACAAATTCGCATCATCCTCAGCAAAGAGATTCGCCTGCGCTAGGATTAGCAGCATTTCCAGGCTAGAAGTATCTTCGCAGACTTTGCATGGGGAGTTGAGCGGCGTTAAGGGAAGGTTCATTGCTTGGTCAAGCAAGTTCTGCTCGAGTTTAATACTATTCACACGACCAATACAGAGTGACTTTGTCTTTACTTGTGAATAAATCCAATAAATCTACTTTCATTCCACACAACAATTAGTAGAGAAGCAACACTTGTTGCTCTTAGTAGAGGTACATTAGGGGTAAATGTTGCCATTGACCACTCGCGTCCAGGAGACCTACATAGTAAGTTGCTCACGAAATTCAGATGAAAATCACATAGATCACCTAGAGAAGCCAGTTCCGGCTAAAAATGCATCGAAGATTCCAAGTGCCACGATCAACTACGTGAGTCTATTGTAGATTTAGTGAGCACTTCCTTGCGAGGCGATGGCCCAGGCGCAAATTAGATACAGCCAAACAGCGAATTCATCTCACCAAGCCAAAAGGAAAGAGTAATAGATACCAGCATACACCAGAGCTTGAACCTGGAACCTTGAGACTCTAATCTCATGCTCTTTCCACCTGAGCTACACATGTCTACGTTACTTTGCCTTTCTCCATTTTCGAGAGGTAGGAAGGTTACAGGTAATCGTTGTAAAAATAAACCCATACCTCTAAAAAAGCACTCGATTCATATCCATCAACCCCGAGAGCAGAGATTCAAGCCAGCCAGCAAATCGCTCGCCAAGACATCAATGCCAGCAGACTCCTGGTCCTCAATCCCAAAACCTAGGAACAAGACATCATCCAGATAGCCATGGTACCTCTGCCCGCCAACCTTCCAGCTCACGGAAGTAACGTAGAACATCTGGCTATGCGTCTCGCGCCCGTGAATCCATAAGGGTTTCCCCGAGATCCCGTATACCTCGAACGGCGGCCGCCGCTGGAATACCATGACGTACGGCTCGTATACGCTATGAAAACCGCGGAAAGTCTTATGCTGGAACACCGTAAAGATGAAGGTGTTGGCGTCGCTTGGCGCGCAGTCGGGATCATGCCGCCGGCACATGGTAATGGATAGCGAGTTGGTCGCTTGGTGGATGGATTCGTGCTCGGGGCCCGGCTTCGGCATGTACTTGCCTAGACACTTTTCGTCGCCCGCTGCCGCCGCTAAAGGGGCTAGGTCCGGCCCTGCCGAGCCATCGGCGCCGAGTCGAGCGAAGGAGCGCCGAGGCGCAACGTCGTAGTGTGCGTACATCTGGCCGTCGGCATCCCAGAAGACGAACCAGTTCTTTTCCGTCGCGAAATTGGTGATCGGTCGGTGTAGCTCCGTGCCCAACTTAAAAGGGCTCTCCTGCTCTTTACCCTCCTCTCCCTCTCCATCGCTTCCCCAATTCACTAGCACACGGAAATCTTGCATCCACTGCCCGAAGCAGGTCTCGTGGGAGTTGCTCCCGTAAATCGTAAATAAAGTCTGCGGACCGTGAAATACGCGGGCGTCGTGGGGACCGACGCTCAAACTGAAATACTCGAGCTCATCTTTGCAATCGCCCTGGCCTGTAGGCACGATGGGCAGCGAGACCGGAGGGAACAAGCAGCGAAGCTCACTGCTGCTCTCGTCGAAGGCGGCGTCGCATGCCAGCTCGACGAACTGCGTGTGTGTAACGTCTGCCGGATCGTGCTGCTGCGCGACTATTACCCACGTGTTCGCGAGCAGCGGATGAGGGATGATGTTGGGATTTATGGTTCTCTTGTCACCAAATCTGAGCCGAAAGTATTTTCCGTCCGGGGTCGAAAGGGAGAAGAGCTCGATATGCGTTTCGTCGGCATTAGAGAGAAGTTCGCCATGTCCATCAACAACATCGTCATCGAAATCGCTTGAAGCGCTACTGGCGGCGTCGGCTTGGTAGATTACATGCTCCGGCTTCTGCTGTATGGTACTGTAGATACTACAGAATGTACGCCCTATCGGTTGGTTTATCTCGTGGCAAGACTCAGGCGACCGGCTATGGAGATATAAGAAGCCGATATAGACGAATAAGAGTAAGGGGACGACAAGGAACACTATGCGCTTCAGTTCTTTTACTCGCATTTTGTTTTTCTGGAAAATGTTATTTAAAAAAAAAAAAAAACCCTTTCCCCGGCCGAGTAAACTTCATTCACCCGACGCAGAATGATGGAGAACGTGCCATTGCTAGTGGCTAGTAAGATGTATAGCTAACCGCGAAGGTATTCGAGGTGGTGTGGGAAGTGCTGAGTTAGGCAGGTTCCTACGCGCTCGTGTATCACAAGCTAGCCTCATTTTCTGCAGAATACGATATCACGACCTTCCTCATATCGGCTTTAGCTTGCCTAATCGCGGGCAGCGATCTATAACTTTGTCTCATCTCAGGTATTGTGTAAGCGGAATCCTACCGGATAGAGTTCATCGCCGACGTGACACAGCGTTACCCAGAAGGAAATATTGACCCCTGCGGGAGAGCCTCGGTCTGATGAATTAACATGTGCTACGCCGTACCAAGCTACCGGGTCAAGCAAGGATAGGGGTGAAAATGAGTTACCCCCGAAAGTCGACTCTTAAATGCATTAAATAATCTCATAAGATCTCTACGACTCGCGGCACTAGATGAAATGACGCCTCGTTTGACGAGAACAGTGGTCATACTTTAGGTAGCAAACAGAAGAATACAGCAGAGAATTACGCATCTCATTCTCGTATGTCGTTTGCGTACCCCTAGGCTGATCCAGAGTTATCAGTCCCTACCTATGCACGCACTACCAACGCTATCGCTCAATGATCTACCGCCGCTTGAAATGAAGCCCATGTACGTAAAAACTCGTAGCTTGGATATCCTTCGAAACTCTCCTTGCAAATCCACCCCCCCTACTATCGGAGAAACACCCGTAGGGTTCCGAGCATAAACTTGAATATCATTCCGAAGGTGCCCAGCATGACAAATATCTTGACAAACTCCCACCAGTACTGCGTTCGGACTTCCGTCTCGACGTGTCCCTTGATTCCCGCACCGTTCGCCGGGAATCGACCCGTCGAGACATACTGCTCGAGTAGCGCATCTTTCTCGTACCACCGCTCCCGGAGCCACACGTCAAACTTTTCTTGATCGTCCAAGGGCATGTCGGCCAAGGCGAATCGCCTCCAGTAGAAGTTGACGGATTTTGGAGGTCGCCCCTGAAAGTAAGTACTCGACAACGTGAAATAATCTTCACCGTATCCCCCTCGGCTGGAAAAACCCGTCAGTTATTGAATGCCAGCTACGAGTAATGAGCAATGGGTTTAAGAGAGTACACTTACGGGACACCTTCGTAGGCTACAGTGCAGTCGTATACGTATTCGACCGTCCCCTTGAGTTCGTTCAGACAGAAGAACATACCGGTGCTTCGAGGCAGCATCAAGTGCTCCATGTCGCGCAGGCCCGTCTTGGCAGCCCATTTCGCCGACTTGACCCGGCCGTTGTTAGATAGGTTTGTTCCTTCGGGGAAGAGGAGGAGCCACATCGGGTCCAGATAACTCTCGCCGTCGGGATCCGTATGCTGAGTTTTCAACTTGCCGAGCCTGTGAGCGAGGCGCGGCTGATCGACAGCCATCTTTCGAGACATGAAGATGAACCCGAGGAACATGCACCCCGGGCCGAGGACGGGAATCCATTTCAGCGACTCCTTCAGGATAATGTAGATATGCCCGTGCATATGGGGGTTGTTCGTGTATCCGACCCACCACAGATACAACCAGTCGGTATAGATCTGTCGCAAAGCAATACTGGTCAGCCACCTACGTTCATCCACACGGGATCATCGAGCCGGCCCAGACCTGGTGATTCGCAATCATAACCATGCGCTCGGGGAAGGCACACTGGACTCTGCCGTCCGGCGTCAAACTAAGCTGACCGGCCACAGAGGCATCACCGCTTATCCTTATTACCGTCGGCGCCCACCACTGGGTCATGGTCGTGATCAACAGACCAAACGACGCTTTCGTCAACGACATGTATGCGTAGTAAAGTTCGCGACTGAGGTAGTATAGCGGGCTTCCGATGATTTGGGTAGCATGTACGCTGTAGCCATATCCATATCAGAACCGGGTCCATCATTTTGTATGCTACGAAGCCGAGAGGGATGGGGAAACAGGACATACGTCAAGCAGCCACTTCCAAAGTATATGGCAAACGTAATGGCACGAAGTAGCGCTCGGAAACGGCCGTATTTGGCTTTCCCAGCAGGATGGGCCATATTCGACGGGTTCGTGGTATCGGCCGTTTGTTTCGATTTCGATTCCGATTCCGGGATCGCGACCTTGCCCGGGAGCGGCCCACGCTGCCGCAGCTCGGCGGCAGTCATCGTCGTACAGAGTAGCGAGAGAATATAACGGATGAAAGAGGCTCGATGAAAAAGGTAGAGAGCGGTGGGGGTCACGCGACGCTTGGAGTATAGAGAATGATCGGCGGGGGGATCACTCGGGGATCTCGGATGCGCCGCTAGGAGTTGCCACTATTCCGTAGTAGCAAGCGGTCTATGAACGATCAGGTAGAATGCTAAAAGGCTTAGTTATGTAGTTAGTATGATTAAGTACCTAAGGTACCTAAGTAGAGAGTAGAGGGTAGAGGGAGTCGTGTAGAAGAAGGGAAGAAAATATCTATGTCGCAATCCTCGGGGTGCATCAAGAGAGGGAGGCTGCTGACTCCCATTTAAACCGTCCAAACCGCGACATATAGGGAGATGAGAACATTGCAAGACTGACCGTTTTTAGATGTCGTAAGGACGATAGCGAATGTGTCATGCTGTCGAAGATGTAGAATCTATCGAGGTGTTGCCTAGGTGTGTAGGAGTGTGGGATGCTTTAAAGGCGATAGGGTATCTGCAGGCTGTCTGTAGGCGAATAACAAGCGACGACCTACCTAACGCAAGGCAGATTTATGAAGGACAGCATGACTCGGTAGGTTAACGTAGACCTTGATGGACTAAAATAGGAACGATCACGAGAATAGGCAGACAGAACGCTGACTGGACAGGCTGATAAGGTGGGAGTTAACATGTATTGCAGATGCAGGTTTCTTATCGGTGCTTGGGGATAAGTAGAAATAAGTAGAAATTCAATTAGGCATGTTGAAGATGCGGGGCATGCAGGTAGTACAAAAACGGGATGACAACACGTGCCAACTGGTTTATTTCAAGGCAGATATATTAGTAGGGTTCATTATCGTCATATTTATCATGAGTACCTACCTCGTACCTACATACATGGTAGACTCGCAGGGTAGGAAAATCAGGAATTAGAATGGCGGCTTATCAGGAATCAAGAAGACATTCGAAAAAAGGAGGGGTCTTGAAGATGTACATTGTACTCCCGGACTCCACGATGACGATCGCGGAGGGCCGGAGCTAGCGGGTTTAGCAGTCCCATCATGGATCATTCGTAAGCAAAATAAGCATTCAGGGGGGACTGTCAGATTACCTAGATGTACTTCGACACTGCCCTTCAACACTGTATTATGACATTTTCGGTAGCAATGACCACCCCTTACTTCTTGACGTATCCTCCAAGGCCACTCGATGAGTCAAAAGATAACTCCCAGACTCGT